TACTTCAGTTATTTCACACACACACAAAATGGTCGTTACATATAAGTCTAAGATGCCTTTTGTCAAAAATGGAAACAAGGACCCCTATATGGTCACATTTACTTTTTCTGTTTCATCCTAACATTTCATGCTATTGATATTTTAATCACCTGAAATCCTGTGTAAACAAGTGAGCACTCAAAACATGAATCCCTAATCCTTCAGAAATCAAATCCAAAAAACACTAAATAACAAGACCAATAAAGGGATATGTTATTCAATTATCATCTCAAAATGGAAAGTCGAAAACTAATGTACAGGAGAATGGTCAATGACAAGAGTGAAGATTAGGTTAGGTGGTCCATTACATTTGATGGAAAACTCTTAGCCAGCAATGTATTAATCTACCTTCTTCCATCAATACAAGAAACTATGCTGGCATCCACATAATATAATTGAGCCTTTACTTACTTCAGTGTATAAATGCTCCTTACTAGAATGATAATCAGTGGCAGCTCTGATGTGTTATATTTTCTTTCTCAAGAGAGCTAGAATGATTTACTAAAAGAGCAAAGGTCACACACAAATTCAGACAGCGTCAACACCATCTCAGCTGACTCAGCTCAAAGAATGAAGAACGCTGAGCTGCACTGCAGTGCTCAGCAGCAACTCCATTAACTCCCTGCAGAGGGCTCATGAGGGTGAACAGGTCTTCACGAGTAATCCAAAAGGAAATATTCAAGACATCAGAAAAAAATCTTACATATACATAGCAAAATTACAACACAGAAATCAAAATTGACAACATAATAAAAATCTAAGGAAAGGTGTTAATAAAACAAGTAAGCATGCTATAAATTGTTTACCATAATTGCTACTCGGGGGTATATAGTCCCCAAGGGCTAGGGTTGCTTTATTGCTGCATAAATTAGCTAGCCTCACAAAGAAGCATGGAAAACAATCTGTTCTACTGCGGATTCCCTTTAGTCACATATTTTTTTTTTCCTGCCTTGTGTCTACTTTGGAAATGAACATTTTCAAGATACAGAAATGATTCCAGAAATATCCTTACTTTTATTCCCCTGCTCTCTTGGCTAGCAGACAGTCATTCTGTACCACAAAGAACTACAAGACTATCTACCTTTCTTCAATGACCTGTGATGGCCAGGGTTTCTCAAAAGATTAAAAATGGCTCTACTATATGGCTAAACAAAGGTTGCTGTTGTTTTTTAATTTAATTGCAGCCTTCTAATCAATATTTCTATCCAAACCTCATTCCTGTCATATACCATACACAAAAGTCAACTCAAAATGGATAAAACACTTTGATGTAAAACCTAAAACTGTAATACATACAGAAGAAAACAAAAGCATAACATTTCACAACATAGGTTTCAGATCCATTGTGTATCCATGTCCAACAATAAAGAAAACAAAAAGAGAATAAAAACAATGGGGACTACATCAAATCAAAAAGTTTCTGTACAGTGAAAGAAATTACCACTAAAACAAAAAGACACCCTAATGAGTGGGAGAAAACATTCGCGCACCATACATCACAAAATAGGTTGATATCAAAGATTTATAAAGAACTCCTACAACTCAACAAAATAAAATTAATCCATTCAAAAAATGGGTCTAAGAGCTAAACAGGCAGTTTTCCAAAGAAGACACACAGATGGCCAACATAAGAGAAAATGTTCATCATCACTTATCACCAGGGAAATGCAAATCAAAACCACAATGAGATACCACCTCACATTAGTGAGAATGGCCCATATAATAAAGACTAGAAACAGTAAGTGTTGGCAAGGACGTGGGGAGAAAGGTACCCTCTTACACTGTTGGTGGGATGTAGACTGAGCCACCCCCTATAGAACACGGAGGTTTCTCAAAAGATTAAAAATGGCTCTACTATATGGCCCAACAATTCCACTCCTAGTTATCTACCTGAAGAACACAAGAACACTATTTCAAAAGGAAATGGTGCACTCCCATGTTCATTACAACACTATTTACAATAGCCAAACTATGCTTATTGAATAGCCAAACTGCTTATTGAATGCTTATTGAATAGCCAACACTATTTACAATAGCCAAACTGCTTATTGAATGGATGAGGGAGATGTGGTATATACACACAATGGAATACTACTCAACTATTTCTCAAGATAAACTCTTGCCATGTGTGACAATATGGATGGGGTTGGAGGGGATCATGTTGAGCAAAATAAGTCAGAAGGAGAAAGACAAATACTGATGGTGTCATTTATATGTAGAATACAGAGAAGCAAAACAATGGGTCAGATAAAGTCAAACTAATAACAAACCCAAGAAATCTGACTGTGGAACTAAGGCTACCAGAGAGGGAGCAGGAGGGGTTAGAAAAGTGGGAAGGCAGCACCATGGACCACGAGGATGGACTATGGGTGCTTCGGTGGTGGGTGTGGTGTTGTAACAACACCTGAAAGGGGAACTTTAGGTTGCAAACCTGTTGGAAATCACTGTCACCACAATTAAAAAAACTAACAAATTTGTTCCTGAAAAAAATCTTTTATGGTTATGAATTCCAGTCAGTTCTTAGCAATCAAGACTTAAAGATGTTCCCCTTATTGTTCTGACCAGGTGAAATTTGATCCCATCTGTGTTCCAGGGCCTTTTATTTTCACCTACTATTTCTGCTCATTCCTGAGAGAACATGATAATCAGTTCAATGTCCTAGAAAGACTACAGTGAGGTTGGGCTAGAAGAGGTTTCTGTAGTACAAAAGTACACATGCTGGATTACTGCATAATAGAATTAGTAGAGATTTGCAACATAAAATGGGTTTTTTGAGGCAACTAGTAGGTACTTTAGCTTAAGTTCTTCATGAAAGCTGGTTCTTCTCAGACACCCAAAAGCAAGTCATCAATGACCAAATGCAGAAAGAAGCACACACTCTCAGGGTATAAACAACAGAGCAGGCTTCCTATAAAGCACAATCAAATTCTACCACAGCCTTCAGCTCAGAAGGCTATGAGACTTCATTCATTAGGAGTGGCTGGAGAAAATGTGTTCTTGGTTAGTAAAAAAGTCTGAATTTTAACATATTTTAAAGAAAAGCGCGGTGTGATTATTTTAAATTACATATGGTGACTCAGGCAAGCTTAACAACCTAAACAAACCCCTGGGTCTGAGGTCTCCATTAATCTCTAATTAATAAATTTAAGCATCATTTGCAATTAGTACAGTCATTGTCTTAATATAAATGGATGTTTTGGACTTGCTTGAAGGACTTAAAATATACTGTAATTTCTCTTCTTAACTTGTTTAAACATTGCCCCAATATTTTTTCCAGCAGCATCGAGAAATTTCTGAACAATGGCGCAAACTGCAAATACCATCCTGACATGAATTTTCCAAATGTTCTAATTAGAAGATGCAACTTAATAAGGTTTTTCATTATATTGTGAATTACAGAAATAAAACCAGAAGAATGTATCCCAAAGACATGAGCTTCAGTTTTAACTTTGACATGCCCTGTGTATGTTTTAACTTTGACATGCCCATATATATATATGTGACTCTGTCATGCACAATGTCAGCCTGGGCTTTGGATCTAATATGTCACTGAATCCTAAGGATACAGTTAATGCAATAGGAACAGAGGTCTAGAGTGACTCTCTGGTGTCATTTAAACTGATAAAGCCTTTTAGCAAGCTGATGACAATATAGTAAGAAATAGCTTATATATTAGTATAGTCTAAGTTCTTATTAATTTCTATAACACTAATGAAGGATAAGAAGGCAAAGAAAATGAACTCCTCAAATTACCTAAAGGGAGACAGATAGCGGTGTGGTTAAGAGGTGCAGAGCTGAAATCCTGCCTTCTCTAATTTGCCAGCTCTGTGATCTAGTTACTTCTTACCTCTAAGCCTTGGTTGCTTCTTCTGTAAAACAGGCATAAAGGACACTTTCCTTGATATAATAATAAATGATCTAAAAATGCTTTGCCTGGCAGTATCCAGTAGTGACGTCAAAGGTGGTATTACTTTTACTGCTACTGAAACTACCATCACTATCGCTAGCATCCTACCCTATTTCCTTATCTGATCTAGTCCTGTTTCTCCTCTACTAAGAGAGGTTTTAGTAAACACGTGGAATCATAGCCTCATGGCTGTGATATGTCAGATACTGTGCTAAGGGCTTTCATACATTTTCCTTTAAGTTTCACAGTAGCCCAATGAGGGAGTTGTGCCATTGTATTATTATTTAAGGTTATTATTATATTACTTCATCTTATAAATGAGGAACCTGACAGACATAGAGAGTTAGTGCCAAAACATGAAGTGGGGGAGTCTGAGTCCTCACTTTAAGTCATTACTCAATTCTGCCTTCTGCTTCAGTTCCACTTCCAAAGATGACCTTTCTGATGATAAAGGCTAGCGTGAGACAAGTTACTACATTCAAATAGTATTATTCAGCACTGATATTCCAGCTGTCTAGAGGTACACATGGTAACTGTGATTCATTTTTCTATGAAGGTGACCTTATTCAGGTTACAGAATTTTGTTGCTCATCACCAGAGTTTATAGGGAACAGAAGACAGAAACAGAAGATTGTCTCCAAAGTGTGGGCCTCATCCAGATATTTCAGCCATACCCATCTGTAAGGTTAAGACACTGAGATCTAAGGCACTCTTGCTACTGAGTCACCAGTTGCTAAGTGTCTCAGAAATGAACTAGGCAGCAGTTGTATGTTCCAGTCGTAATTACTTGACTTACGTCTTCTGTAGATCTACTTATATATTTATCGCCTGCCCCTCAATGCCACCCTAATTTTGGTTTCCTTTTCATGCTAGGAAATAGGCACACCTGTGTAAAAGCAAGAAACTGCACTAAGATAAGTAGAAACTCAAAGCTTGCACCGAGTAGAAGGATCCTTGAAGGTCATTTGTCTCAACTTCCTCCTCATGTTGGGAAAGGAGAGTCAAGAATCCATTTCAAACGCTTTAAGCGCATGTCACAGAGCAGTACTCTTACCCGTGCAGTGAAGTCCACAGCAGCCGCTCGGTTTAACAGCAACGTGGCCACATTGATATTTCCATAGTGAGCTGCTATGTGGAGCGGAGTGAAGCCACTCTGTAAAGAAAACACAGCAGACATTCAAATGACTCCTGTCGGCTCCTTGATATGTGAACACCATAACTCCACCCAAGTAAAAATGAGGAAGCAAAATATGCTGAGGTCCACATTCCATTCTGTACTAGGTTTCTTTCCATTAGTGCCAATTGCTCATGGGGTTTCAAATAAATGCCAAACTTGGAGGCGGAGGAGTAGCCAGAGAGGAACCCAGGGTAGAGAGTACTTTTAGTAATTATAGGACTATACAAAAGTCAACATTTCAAAAAGTGAAAATAGATGATAAGAGCAATCTTTATGGCTTATAAAAAACTTGATTAGTATCACTGTTTTATTGATGGTAAAGTCACCCATTGAAATTCTTTGTGAAAATTGAAATATTCTTATATAATCAATATGGAATCAAATTAATAGAAAAAGCCAATTTTGATGATAAAAGCAATTTGGGGGGAAGAGATACTACTACAATTGGTGTTATATAATGGTTGATTGCATTCTATCTAAAGAATCCACAAGTTGGTCTCTTTATTAGCAAATATTTATTCAACAACACATTTTTTTTCTGGCTTATTCATACCAAGATCATTTTACTTCCTTAAAAAAATGCTAAAACATGCAGCAATTCACTTAGTCCCCAAAGATTGAAACCTTATAGGAACTAGATGCATTTCTAAATTGTTAGCAAGCTTCTAAGCCATGCTAGCTATCTCACTGACTCTTGTGGAAGGGTGGATCAAATTGTACCATTCTGAGGTCAATTGCCTTTTGCTGACACCATGGAGGGTAAGTGTCATGCAGAATTCTAAAGAATCAGTCCTAGAGAAATAGAATGACAGGGTTGTCTGCAGCTTTAGATATAGCTGTTAAGCATCTAAAGTGTCAAAACTCTTCATCTCACAAAACTCTATTGCAATATCCTTAAAGTTTCCTTTCAAACACCAGGTTCAGCTGCAGAAAGCCCTGGTAAAGCAAACTACTGTCTTCTCTGGCACATGCTACTTTGGGGATGGGGTAGAAAGCAGGTATGTAAGCCTACAGAAGGCAATGCAAAGAAAGGAAAGAAATGAGGCAGCAGCACTAAGTAATGGGGAAATGATGATGCAGATACAGATTATATGTATATGTATTATATATATATATATATATATACCTCTGTTGTTCTATTCACCACCATCTAGGTTAACACATTTGGAAGCAAAGAGGAGGAAAAAATGAACGGTTAGTTCACTATTGGTGATATGGATGGCAGAAAGCTCATGACCACTAAGTAATGAAGATGAGGGCTATGATGGAAGCACAATAGGCACAGAAAGAAAGCTAGTCTGAATGAAGGGCTACACAATGACCTATTCCACACGCCACATTTCCTTCACAGAGACGTCCAAGTCATATGTGTCAAAATGATGGGAAATGTTGGCTGGGACTCTGGCTGCTGGCACACTCTCTGCAGCAGATAAATACTCAGTGTGTGGCGTGTTATCTTAGATGGTCCACAAGGGTTTATTTGTGTACATTGTCATTTAGCCTTTTGCACCTTTCACCCTAAAGTCTGAGCTGAAGTGTTCAATGCATTTCAAGTACATGTTAAAAGGAAGGAAACTCTCAGGTGCATATAAGTCAGCTTCCCTTGGTGTGGCCTCCCTGTTCGCATGCATAGGGCAACATCCACAGGTACCTCCTGGCCTTATTTACTAAGAGGGATGCACCATCAATTGGCTATGTATGTTGGATCTGTATGTTCACACCTTCTATTGAAGTTAAGTATTTGGCATAAGCTTGCCAAGAGGGAGATCAGGCATTCTTAAAGGTTGGGTGCCTGACAAAGAACAGCCGCATGACAGGCCACCTTGGCCCTTGGCCTCACCTTGGACTCCACATCTGCATTGTTGTCGTTCTGCAGGAGCAGGGCAGCAGCTTTCGTGTCGTCTTTTCGGGCAGCGATGTGAAGAGCTGGGAGACGCACTTTTCCTTTAGTGTCATTTTCTAGCAGGAGTGAAACTACTTGATCATGACCTTGTTGCAAAGCTACCGCCAATGGTGTGAAGCCATCCTGCAAATAAATGGACAGGTCAAGACTGGAGCCAAGGGAATTTTTTTAACCCAATTAATGAATAAGAAGATGATCGAGTGTCAGTTTTTGTGGAAGGTTATTATGGCTAACATTTATGTAGACACACAAGTGACAAGACAATGTCAAAATATAGTTTAACAAAGGTGAAAACAACAAGAAATTTTAATGTTTATAGGGTTTCGGTTCTGGTAAAAAGTGATAGACATTACTTCAGTCAAATTTGAAAATGCACAAAAGCACTACCTATAGAGAAGAAGATGCCCTCATTTTCTATTCATAAAATAACCTCAGTGAAAGCAATATTCAGGTTAAATAGGGGAAACACTTTCAAAGAAGCTCATTTAAATAAGATATAAACATTTAAAACCAGGGAGTTTGCTTATCTGGTTCATCACTGTGCCTTGTTGCTTACCATTTAAGTGGTGCTCACTCGGTCCACATGAATGAATGAAACACAGTTAATGCTATTTTAAGAAAGGTCTATATGAAAGACTAATGGTTTCTCTGGCTATGAGGAAAGACGACAAAGGCTCGGGCAAAATATGACTAGAATAAATTCAGACACACGCACATCTATACAGTTTGAGTCTCCCCACTGTGTTGGCTTGGGTTTCAACAAAGAAAAGACAGCTCTGCATTTTATGAGTAATGCTCACTTAAAGAATAAACAGCACAGAGTGGGAAATCCTGACTCAAATTTTAATTTTGCATTGCTTTTATTATCATCCACTCAAAAGAATATTTAAAATTTATTTTTCCTAGAGAACAGGCAAGTAAGTTACTTACTGCTTTGTTTGGGCCACAATATTTTATATCTGTAGTCATTGTACAAATAGGGGGATACTCCACCAGAAGAGAGTGTTTGTAAGGCAGAAAGAATATACTTGCATACTGATACTTTGTTGGTCTTCCTAAAACACCACTTTCCATCTTTTCCTAGCTGGAAAATAGACAAGGGCTTCTTCCTGCTATTGATTGCAAATTGGCATGTTTATATTCAAAGAGGTGCAAAACATTGACCCAAGGCAAATAAGGGATAAGATACAGGCTCCTCTGTATACATCCTTTCCAATTGCCTATAGTCTCCTTACCAACCATGCATGTGCAGACTATTTGGTGTCTATATTCCAGCTATTTAGCCCACCTGAAATGCCATTCTCCTTGCTCTGCATACACAAATTCTCCACACCTCACAATCTAGTTTAAGCTCTACTAGATCCTGTCAACTTTACTATCCAAGAAGACCCAGAAGAGGAAAAGGATAACCATTATTATAACCAGCATAATCCTGGCAGCCAAAGTAAGATAACAAAAGGGTAGGATACAAAGTGTCACCAGAATACCACTACAGGTTTACACTTGAGGACATAAAGATTAGAATGTAATGTTATGAGAAAAGTAATCTACACAGCTGCATAAATATATTATCTCATTTTCATACCAATAATAAATAAACAAATTTAGAGAAACAAAATGTTATTGCTGGGCCTCCCCTGGTGGCCCAGCGGTTGAGCGCTGGGCTGAGAAGCTGCCCACAGCCTCTGCAGCGCTGGTTCGATCCCTGGCCACCGGCGAGGGTCCCACATGGCACACAGACCTCTCCTGGTGCCCGCTGCTCCCCTTAGCAGTGTACTTCAGTTCTTCTGCCTGTTCTGCTCCCTGCTCTGGCTCTGGTGAATTCTCTCACCCTCCCGTGCTTCTGACTGTACCCAATGCTTGTATAAATAAATAAATAAATCTTTAAAAAAAATGTTATTGCTAAGGAAAATTAGCAGTGACCTTTACTGCTTTTTGCTCCTCATTGTACTTTTTAATTTATGTATCATCTTTGCAAAAAACCTCAAAAGTACATTGTTTTTGAAGGCGTGATAAAAGAAAATCTGTAGATTAAGAGTTAATGTTGCATCTCACTATTAAAACCTGAACAAAACCTAAAGCATACAAATGACAGCTTGCTTCTGTTCTGAATCAAAACTAAATGGCTATAGCTACAGTTCCATGGATATGAATTTGTAAATCCACAGGGCCTGTACATAAAGGAAACTACTTTGCACCAGAAAATAAACTGCCACTGAGATGATTAGCATTGACAAGAAAGTGCTTCCTGCATAAGCCAATTAAACACACAAAGATTCCAGCTTTAAGGTGTTAATAGCTAGAATTAGCAGCTCCAGATTCTGTTTCCAAACCAAGTTTAAATAGTTTGGGTTGTTTTGTGTGGTTATTCTTAAGAGAGAAATATAAGCTAAAAGGTGATATAATAGGCTTTCCATGAGAACCTTCACTGCTTTGTGTAGAGCCTGACACATAATAGCTAGGTAATAATTACTGGTGGAACAAATGGACAAATAAATATAATTCGTGTTTCAGAATCTTAATTAGCAAAAGAAGACAGATAAAGGAAAATACATAATATGCACTACACAGTAATAGAGAAAAGACTTTAAAACAAAATCATGCTGAAGACTTGACACATATACACACAAGGTATTTAGGGTGGAAAATGTATTTGAAAGAACTGGGCAAAATCACATCATGTAATAAATGGAAATTTCTATTAAAACTTTCAATTCAAATGATCCTTTATTCTCTGTACCATTTGTTTTGTAAATACAGCCTTCTGTACAAATAATACAAATAGCATCATTAAGAAGAGCAATAATAGCAGGGTTAATACACTGTATTAATAAAACAACTATATCTTGCTGCTGTTTTTTAACTCTCTAATACGAATAAGCCTAAAGAAGACAAAAAGTTTCAAAAGCTCAGACACCTTTAGATAAACAGACAGCAGCTGTTGAGGTAGCAAGGCACCTGCAAGCCTCATGAAGACACATGTGACTTGTTATTCCACACAACATTTATCTGTTTCCTTCCTTCCCTCCCTCCCTCTTTCCTGAAAGTGGGGAGCCTGGGTTTGTCTGACCCAGGGCACTTGGGAACCCCCATATATGTGCCTTCTGGCTATTCTGACCCAAGTAAAGGGAGATAGTAAATGTGGGTGAAGTGAAGTGTGAAGTGTCCCATGTCTTCTGGTTATCCTGACAATTGCTTCCAACTGGAGAAAAACTAGACCCCATCCTTTCCTGTGTGTCTCTTGCTTCTGTGTTCTGTGGCCATGACCCAAGTATTCCCAAAAAGAAGGGAAATGCTCTTCCTGCTGTAAGGCTCAATATTCTTATTTTTTTTAAAGGCCAATATATGGATGTAGATCACTGATAACATCACATGCTCAATTTGGTCAGTTTTCTCTTTTTTTACCTGCTATTCTCCTGCATTTTAAGAATTGATTGCACATATGCTGCCTTAATTTTTTTCCACCCTGTTTTCTTTCTTAAAGTCACAGAACTATCATGAAATGAAACAAAAGAGTAAAAATATTTTTAAAGATTTGCCAAAAGCCCACTGGTTTGAAGAGCTCACACAATGTATCTCTTTACATTGGTTGTAGTATCTGTTTTGGATCTTGAAAGAAAAAATCTTTAAGAAAAATTGGAGAACTGATGAACCAGTGGTGATTAGTTTACAAGGTAATTTGAATCTATTACTATCAAGTTGGGCTTATGTTTGTTTCCAAAGGAGAGATACTTGGGGATCTGTGTATCACAGAAAAGAATATTAACTGTCACATGTGAAGAAAGTACGATGAAAACACTTTCATTTAGTTGATCATATATTTAGTATTTCCATGTAAAAATGGGAGTAGACTTTCTTTTATGCAATAGCCCCTCTCCCTTCTCCATTCTCCCCTCACTGATAAGACCTGTCCATACTCAAGGAACTATGCTCAGGCCAGGTTCTCCCCAAGTGTGAGGAGAGGTACTGTGCTCCACTTATTAAATGCTTGTTCTTTTGTTATCAACCAGCAGTCATTTCTTACCTTTAAGAGTATTATTACAAAAACAACATTCTCATTACAAAAATCCCCAACAGTTCTGAAGGATATAAAGGGAAAAGTAAGGTTGCCTCCTACCTCTCCGTGCACACCACTGTAACAGTATTCTATGACATTTTCCTCTATCTGGATAGATCGCCTTGCCTCATTTTTAATATGCTCTGTAACACTTTTGTGTTAATATAACAAAATTTATTAAGCAGGTTCCATATTTGTGCATATTTAGGTTATTTCCACTTTAAAAAATTGGTATTACTTATGTTAATGAACTTATATACTAACATTGCATTTTCCTTTATTATAACTGTAATATAAATTCTTAGATATGGAATTGCTAAGTAAAAAGGGAGGTAAACATTAATTTTTGATACATTTTGATAGTTTCCAAAAGTTCTACACAAGTGCTGTAATCAATTATGAACTTCATTAATACTGTAAGCAAATTTCAACTTCACCTATCCCTCAAATTTTGTCCTCATTTCACTGGCAAGAGATTAGATCATTTTCTACCTGATTAATAAATTAACACTTCTTTGACTGTGAATCAGAGGAAGGATATTTTTATATACTTTGCATTTCTTTTTATGCAAATTACTTTTTCATTTACTTAGTGGTTTCCCTGGGAGGCATCAGAAAATGTGGGTAAGGTTATAAGCAATTCCTTTACTGCCCTCTTTATTGTGTCATGCAGGGAACACATTAGAATGCAAGACAAAGGTGTGATATAATGACAATGACAACCCTTCATTTGTTCTAATTCATTTTGTTAGAAATAAAGAACAAGACACTAGTATTTTATCATTAGCAATTAATTTCTATTGATATACTTCACAAGAAATATCAACCTTCTGTTCTGATGACCTGAAAAAATAAACTGCATTACCAAAGATTGTACCAAAGCTTTAAATAACCTTCTTAGATTAAATAATCCTTCTGTTCAAGGTTGCAAATTTGTTCTTCAAATGTCACCCTTATCTAAATCTTTAAAATGTATAATAGTTTTGTTTAGAAGCATTAATTAATTAGTTAACTTTAGAAATATAGAAGTTCAATCATAAAAATTAGGTTAACTTAAATCTGGACAAAAACATTTAAAATTAATGCTTAATCACAAAAATATTTAAAACCAGGGTTTTCTTTGAGGCAAAATTATGAGACAGAAGAGTATTCTCAGATAAACATGTAAATAGCAAACAACACAATGCCAGGGTGGAGCTACTCACACCCTGGAGCAACTTACACCTAGAAAAAAAACAAACATCTTACCTCCGTGGCAAGGCTTTGACTGGCACCATTGTCAAGAAGGAACTTCACAACCTCCAGGTGGTTTTCTTGGGCTGCCATATACAATGGTGTGAAACCATTCTGCAAAGAAAGAAATGTTTATGTGAAGCTTTCTAGCACAATCAATTTTTCCACTGTACTGATATTACAAATTCTAAGAAATGCTGAGATATAATTTTGATGACACTTTAATGTAGCTAATATTTATTAGAAAACCTAAAGTACCACAGTTTAAGCAGAATTCGTAAGTGCAATTCACAATTATACTTCATAATTTGTATTTTGAATGTAGTTCATTCAATAGTGAACAGTCTAAATATAATTCATAACATATCCACTTTAGATAAATAAGGACATCCATTTAATCATCAAGCACTTAATGTCTACTATGAGTAAAGGATTTTACTAGATGCTGTAAGGATATGAAGAACAATATATTTAGTCAATGCAGCTCCCAAACAATGAACTATTTTAAATAAATGATGTGATACTTTTACATGAAATTAAGCATGTGAAACATTTCCTATTTTGGGAGGAATTAATTTACAATATCTTCAAACTTACCATACATGATACATGGTAAGTTCTACGATAGTCATTTAGAACAGAGAATAATACCTATTTGCAAAATGGTATGCTTCAAATTCAAAGTAGAATTTAATTAACAGTATATGTTTCATAAATTTCTGGATATTTTTGCTAAGATATGTGTGTGCGCATATGTATATATATATATATGTTCAGATGTATGTATTCATACATGCATGCATACATGCATTATATGTATGTCTGTCTGAAAAGCATCCAAAATGCCAAAGAATTTGAAATCAAGCAAATGAATATATACTTTCAGTTTCTAATTATATTTGTTACAGATATGCATTTGTTTTTTAGAGCGATATATTTGATATCTATGAAATACTGTAATATTTTAAATCTTATTGCAAGATATACACATTAAAAGAAATTTTCAAATTGTAACAACATCTCTGAATAAATTTTACAGATACAGTTCTATTTAAGTGAATGTTCTAGAAATTTTATCATATATAATATGCAATTTCAAAGAATAGATGTAAATCTATTCTAAACTAGGTATTATCAAATATTACTTAAATTTTTATGACTAAAATATTTAGGTTATAGTTAAAATATCATTTACAAATGACTACCTTACTTATCTATAACTCAGTGTCTGTTGACCTCACTTATTTTTGGCTTATAGCTCAGAATTAGAAAGTAAGTTAAAAAGATGCAGGTAGGGCCACCTGGTAGCGCAGGGGTTAAGTCTCAGCACTATCAAGCTATCACCAGCCAAGGCGGCCAGGGAGCTAACTCACTTCATACAGCAGACCTCTACTGTCTTGCCTGGTGCAGCCCTCAGCAGTGTATTTCAGTCAGTCTGCCTGTTCTGCTTCCTGCTCTGTGTCTGGTGAATCCTCTCACCAGCCGCTCCCCGAGCCCATACCCCTCTGGCCTATACCCCAGTTCTTTTATACATGAATAAAAATAAATCTTTTAAAAAATGCAGATAAAAGTGATGTCACATAGCAAATATACCACAGAGTACACATTTTATTCATCAGAGCACTCTACTTGTCTACTTACTCTGCTTTATACATAATTATAACAAACTAAGTTATCAGTTACCAAGCTCAAGATCAGAAACACAAACTTATAGAGGCAGAGGAATGTGACACAGGGATTCACATTTCTTCCATCCAAACTTTCTATTTAATAACATTCCTGAAGTTTATTGTTACTATGTTCTACTGGCCATATTGATAAAATGTTTTGGTGAGGCCTTTCTAAACAGAGTGCATTGCTAGTGGAGTTGGAAGGTTTCTATTTTGTTTTGCTTTTGTGCTAGTCAACCAGCATCTTCATCTGTTTGCTTTCATTTATCAATATCAACCCTTTTTCTTTTAGGGAAGCTATATCTTCCCACTTTTGTAGGTTATAGAGTGAATAAAAATGCTACCATTACTCTTTAGCACAAAAAGGCTTAGGGCACAAGAAATTCAATGTGCTGTCACAGGGCAACTTAACACTGTGATGATTTTCCATGCAATAGCCCCTGGACTGAGAGAATGGCTAGATTTCAGAAAAAAACATGATTTTTCTCTGAAGAGAAGAAAGTATACCACTGTTTTTATATTAATTTCCTAACTGAGGAAATTTCCAAAACAAAAAGCAGGCCAAAAAGGAACATATGGGTGCCCAATTTGCATTTTCTTTTTTTGTAGCAACAATAGACTCAATTCTCAAAAGGCAGAGCAGCTCAAGACTGAACAAAAATGCAGTTTGGTGTCTGATTTTACCCAATATCTTCAATACCTTCTGCTCTGAACATTTTTTGCAGTGCTAAAGCATGCAAATATAAGCATGCAAATCTGTGGACTTTTAATTTTATAGATAGTACCAAGCCATACATTATAATACCCTACAAAATAAAATAGAAATGCTTCTGCGTCTATTTAAGGGTGTAAATTTCATGTATGCAATTTTTTTCAATCCATCCTAGTTTCCTAAGGCCAGCCTCTCTCTGTACATCATAAAAGTGCTTTTAAAAAGAAATTGTTAAAGGCATGGGGATAGATTTGCATTAATTTGCATACGATGTTAATTTTCATGAGGATTGTTAATTTTCATTGCTTAGATTGGGAGGTATGTTATAAGGTCAAAAGTCAGAGAAGTTCTCTTTGTATCACACCCATTTGTTAGACCATGGCCCCTGAATCTGACCTCCCCACCATGGGACACAAAAGATTATACAGAACAGCAAGGCAGCAATGGCTTAAAGGGTCTTGCCTTTGTTAACATGACTGTGCAAATCTGTCCACTTGGAATACTTTGAGAGTTAAAATGTTATTTGAAACAGACTCTGCTTCCTAATAAACACAGTTGCTACCTTATTTTACAGAATAAAGATAGAGAAGGAAAAAAGAGCGAGGGATGTCATTTGACATGGCAGTCAGATTTTTCAACAGCCAACACTGTTAATCATTGTTGCTGTATTTAGTACAAAGTATAATGGGCTTAATCATAGCAGAGTTCTTTATAATCACAATTTAGTTAATGAACCCAATTTATTTTCAGGATAGACCTAAATGATTTTTGTACTGTTTTCAGTCTGATAAGAAAAAGCCGACCTTTGATAAAGGCATTGAGAAGAGTTAAAGTAATACCTACAAATTCTTAGTTTATAGTTTTAGTTTCTAAGGTCAGAACTTGGCCTCTCCTGCTGTCATTTTTATTTTCAAGTTAAGGAGAACTTTTACATTTAAGGAAGGTGAGGGACACTATTTCTTGTTGTCTTCTAAATATTGTCTACGGGTTAAAATTTCACTTGGAGTGATAATTGTCTTCAGTATTAATATTCCTAGGATGTTTTATATGCTGCCAAAGAAATGGAATTCAATCTATTTCAAGACATTACTGCTTGTTGTTCTTTATAAACATTCCTATTGAAAACTTGTTGCCAGAAATTATTGTGAAAAAACCATTGTTTGTGGTCATCTCATTATTTACTATGTACATGGGACAATGCAGAGCAGAAAGCCTGTGGGGCTGATGCCCAGATGAAGGGGTGCTACTGTGAACTGTGCGTACGGTATTCCAAGAACAGCTGCAATGAACAGGGAATTTCACAGCCTATATATTTCTTCCTCACTTGATCATCAGTAGGGAATGTGTATAAATTGGTATCAAATCAGGCTAGGATTTTATTTCAAGCACCACTTCTCCCAAACACTGCAGAGAAGATTTAAAGCGACAGCTGTTCCAAACAGTCAAGAATGTGTGCAGTGTCTCAAAGAAGGTTAATTGTTCCTCCCTTGTTGGGGTGAGGCAGGAAGAGTAGGGAGAAAATGAAAATGGATTAGTTTTCTCACTGTCTCAGAGTTTAACATTAGTCACTTTTCAGTAAATAGTTTCGGAGGCATTAAAAAAATTGGTTTAAAAGCATAATGCTTCTCTTGCAATCAGCTGCTCTGTATCTTTCTCAAAGTACTGTACTTATCAATATTCAGCTTTATGTAATTCTTTTCTGGAAAAAGCATTATGACTACAAATGAACTCCCCCAGAGAATCAGGATAAGTGGCATAAACCGTGTAACAAAGGTCCAAGCGCAGGGAACTGGAAAGAAATTAGACCAAATGTACAAGAACTCATGTGGGGAGAAACATGGTACAGTTGCTTTTCCATGACAGGCTATTTAAGGACACCAGAGCTATCACTGCTTGGGCTGGAGCAGAGACCAGGAAGCCCTGCAGCAGATTCTGTGGACCCAGAAATAGAGGGAGGTTCTTATTATCCTAATAATCAGTACTGAAAAAAACTGAAGAAATCAACACTCTTAAAATGGAGATCAAAAATTCATAATAAATAAAGTGAAATGCACTTCATCTTGAAAGACAAAACTAGAAGTTGTCATGACAAGTTGATATGATTTAGCAAAATGTAGGTATAACTGTGTTCATGTACACGGTCTCAGAAGGAACAAAGACCGAATTAAGTCTTTATGGAGAAAAACTGTACTTTTCCAACAAAGTTAATTGCCAGCTTGACACTCATCACTTTTAATTTTTATGGCATAAGCAAATCAAAGTTTTTTGCAAGAAGTACTTGAGAATCAAGGCGTCACCTAATTTCTTCCCCTTTATTTACTCTTCTGATTTTTTAAATCATTTTCATTTAGAACATTTATCAGGAAATCATCCTAATTCTTCACACTGGCTAGTGCAATGGTGCGAGAAAGTCATGTACTCATGTCTGGGCTGTGCTATTTCATTGCTTATCCTGAATTCATAAAATCCTACATCTTTTGCAAAACTTGTGGTTCCAGTCTATATTCAAATTGTTCAATATCCAACACCCTGAGGAAATACTGACAAACTGGGGCTAATGACAGCATTTAAGTAGGAAGAATGTTTAAGTAGGAATCAGTTTTAGAAATGGTCAGGTGGATATCTGTATGTTGTAATGAACGTTGCTTTCCAATACAACCTCACGTCAATGGGGACTCATGATTTGGATAATGGGGACTTATATTTTTAAACTAATAAAGTGAAATAGTTCTTTTAGACTTAAAATCTATCAACATAATCTCTTGGTATTCCTTTTTAGAACTTCATGCAAGACTGAGATCTTACAGGTGGACTGAGATCTTATAGGTAGAACTACTGAATAAATACATTTTAGCATATTTCTATCACAAAGAATCTGGAAATTTTAAAATTTGGGGACTAAATGTTTCAGGGAACAACAATCATGCCTTAGTATACAGAGATTCAACAGTGTCTTTCCTTTTTCAAATAGATAAGGTATTGATATATTTTAAACTTCTAAATTCCTTATTTATGGGCATAACCATTTCTTTTGTAGGTTATTAAATACAGAAACTGGCTAGCATCATGACAGAGAAGACAGTGAATCACAGATATCCCTGAAATAATTGTGACTATAAGTACCAGTCATACAATTATGGACAGCTTTAAAATCTCTATCTCTTACATGTAAGAATTACAAATGACTTTACATAGGAAGTTAATAATCAAAGAATATTATTTAAAAATCATAATAACATTTTTTGTGGCAGAGTTAGGTTACCTGAGATTGTGCATTAACATTGGCGCCATTTGTCACCAAGACCTTTACCACCTCTGCCTGCCCGGCCAAAGATGCTATGTGCAATGCTGTATTTCCTTTCTAGAAGATAAAAAGAAAGATATATCAACTCACACATTTTTTTCCTGCATGGTTTGACATTTTTACAAAATATCAAAAGCCCTCTTTGTTTACAAGTTCCCCGAAGACAACAAATTTGACATGTATCCCATGAGAAATTTGCCCTGATTCTTATTGAGGTCTGAATCCTCACTAAATTTGGCAAGTGATAGAAGAAGCATTAAACGTGGTACTGACCTTTGTAGCTGCATCTACATTGGCTTCTCTCTGTAGCAGTTCAGAAACCACTTCTACGTGACCTTCTTTGGAAGCAAGATGGAGGGCATTCAATCCATTCTGATTAAAAAGCAAAGGGAAAGCTTTACTCAGCAGGTTGAAAAGAGTGGAGTAAGCAGACTAACAAGAACTCTTGAGATAACTATCACACCATCACACCATTACTTGCATATGTGCGGTATAGAAACTTAATATGTGGAATAGAACTACTTAAAAGTTAGGGGGACTGTTTTGGTATCATTAGTTAATAAACTTAGGAATTATTAAAGACACATCGCTATATTTCTGAATAATCCTCTAAAAAAAGCACAGACTCATTTGATAATTCAAGCTGGTGAAATTTAACAGGAAAAAAAAAGAGAAAAGCCAAAACCAGAAAGTCTTGGCAACATCTAAAAAAAATTTAAGTAATTTAAAGTTTGGATTTTTACCTCTTTAACTAGAAAGCAAAACAATAGCAACAATAACTAACCTGATTGCAAATGTTGATGTCAACTCCATTTTTTATGTAATCAAGGGCCTTTTCTAAGTGTCCAGCTCGAGCTGCTCTTAAGTAACTTGCGTTGGCATCAGACTAAAAAACAAAACAAGAAAAACATTTTGATGAACAATCAAACTAATATACATGTTTCTAACTACCTAGTGTATAATCCAAATTAAAAGATAGAAAAACCGAGATTTTTAATTGAAGGTCTTTGTAAAGTCACCAGAAAAAGAGCAAATTCCTTAAAAGTTAATTTCTTTGTGATGTTATAACTGATTCTGAACTGGAATAGAAAATTTGTCAAAATATCCAGGCAAGTTAAATCAAAATACCATCATTTCTGGAGAGTAAAGAGACCCTGAAACTTAATATTGAATAGTTGTTACATTACAAAATCCTCCTTGTTCCTTTGTATCAGAAACTTAACATCTTGTATCAAGCTATCACAAGTTTTTTCCATTCATAGTTTCACAAATACATTTAATTGTTATGCTACTTTAACAGGAATTTATGGACAATGTTCTCTTGGAATTTTCTACAGGACACAGACATGTGTTGGAACCATAGATTGTACTTGGAAAGCATTTAAAATGTATACACAGATTATGAAGTGTAGTTTCTATATATTTTCTAGCAAGCTAAGGTCTTGGAAAAATCTCTTGAAAGCAATAGCAGGAGCAAATAACTAAGTCCATATGAATTTTAAAACAACAAAAAAACAATTTTATAATTCATCCACTGAAATTTCACAACTCTGAATTACTGCTGAACCCTCATATCTACAATTGCACTGTTGAAACACCTAATGGGAAAAAGGCGTGAGAGGAATAACAGCAAATTTGGGGCCATAGTCTGTAAAGGAATCTTGCTTAGTGCAGAACAATACAGAAGCAGGTTTTCTTAAAAGGGCAGCCAAAAGACATCTCATCGCTGGTTATAAATGCAATCACGCAGAGTATGGCTTAAAGGAGTAAAGTGTCTTCTTTCAGCCATTTGGTGATACCTCCTTCAATCCTTCAAATCCCCTGTTCATGCCACCTGTCTGTGAAGCCTTCCCAGACCTCCCAGGCAGAGGTTAATTGCTCAGTGCTCCCAAAGCATTAATTTCAGTGAGTTCTCTTGGTATTTATCACACATTATTCTAGTTTCACTGTACCTGTCCTTCTCTCCTAAATTGGAAGTCCCTTAAAAACAAGAGGAGGCAGATTAAGGGGGAGGTAGTTGGAAAACCTCCAAGATGCCAATCTTGGAGGAATGCTAATTCATGCCCAGCAATGTAATTGAGAAGGAAATTCCTTCTTTTACAAGGGCCTTTCACTCTGGAGTCACTTAAATGAGAGTTGACTTGCTAGAACCTCAAAGGAGAGGTACTGATCCAGGGTCCAAGGCCCTCCCCTCACCTTTCCCATTTACAGCAGTATCTCTCTCCCTGAAGGAACACTGCTTTCTCTGTCTATAAGTCAGAGTTTCTCAACCTTAGCATTATTGACATTTTCATCTGTATAATTTTTTGCTATCAGCAATAGTCCTGGTGAGTATCACTGTTTACCAGATTCCCTAGCTTCTACCCACCAGGTGCCAGTAGTAACTGCTCATGCAACAACCGAAAATGTCTTCCAAATTGCCAAAAATCCTGTGGGTGGGGAGGTAGAAATCTCAGTTGAGAACTTGGGCTCTAAACAAGTAGCAAACTAATTTGTTTAAAGATTACAGGCTACAATAGACTTCAACCTTTGGCCTATCTAGATCGCCACATTGTTGAAGTTAGCATAAGACAGTGACTATTGGTATATTCCTCTTTTAGTTTCTGCCACAATATAGCTGGTACCTATATTTTGTGAATGAGTGAATAAATCAATAAATAAGTAAATTGAGCTGAAATAACTATATGAAGTAAAATATCGCGTGGAACAATATAGAAATCTTAACAACAATAGCTTTTAAGTTGAGATTCTGCTATGGTACAGACACTATAAGCTAAGCCACTGAAGTGGTGTATTTAGCAATACATAGGTATTGCTAAAATAATACTGGGATTTGAAACAAACATGTAAGTCATTTAATTAGAGCAGAGGGTTAAGAAAGGGGAGGATAAGAAATATGGGTTTAGAGCTTCCCTGGTGGGCTAGGGGTTAAGTCTCCACGCTCTCACCTCTATGGCCTGAGTTTTATCCCCTGTCAGGGAGCTAAGCCACATATGGTGCAGCAGACCTCTCCTGTCTCATCCACTGTTCCCCTTTGCAGTGTATTTCAGTCAATCCACCTGTTCTGCTTCCCACATTGTCTCTAGTGAATCCTTTCACCCCCTGCACCTCCGGCTTACACCCAGTTCTTCTGCAAAATAAATATTAAAAAAAAAAAAAGAAATATGGGTTTAACCCAGACAGGGGACAACCAAATTCTGAGAATTTAAAGAAATATAAAATATAGACTTGGCAAAAATGAAGTCTCACTTGTCTTTATCTCACTGCTTGTTAAACTTTTCCAAATGGATGTGTCACTATTTTATCTTTCAAATACTGCCTATAGTATCTACATGTCATTGTTTATTTGCTTAGTGTTAAAAACAATATTTTGTATTAAGCTCAATATCAAGTTTTTTTTTTTTAAAGAAGTTTGCTATTTTGAGGTTAACATTTTTGTCTGGTTATTAATTTCAGTTGGAAATCAATTAGCAATACAAGGATGGCTCCTTGTATCATAAAATATCATCTTCTTTGTGCCTGCTCAATGACTTGTCTGTGAATTTGCCCAGGAGTGCTCTGATGCTGTTCTGGGAACAAATGACATCAATCTGCCTGGATATTTCAACCACCAGAGGTAACAACTGTGAATTAAGCATCCTAAACTCTGAATATGAGTACATGAAAACAGTGGCTAAAGAAGTTCACAAATGTGTTATTTCAAGAAAATTCTTCAAATTGAACAGGTTTGGCAATATGTTACCATTTTCCTCTCAGTGGTCCTCAACAAATACAAAATACCAAAAACAGAAACAAAAAACAAATCAAATCTAATATAGTGGTTCTCTACTATTTAGTATTTGGATTCTTTTGAGACTTAAAAAAAATGTATGAGCAAATTCTTTCCCTCAATGATTACACATAGATGCATACGCACACCAAAATTGCACACCCATCTCAAATGTACATTTGCACACACAATTTGCACACTGGATCATGTGCCGCAGGATTGAGAAACCTGCTCATGAATTCATGTCTATGAACCTGTCCTAAATGATAAGAATTCTCTGGTGGATGCCTTCATTATATCAATTTCACTCAGTGATTCTATCAAACAATTCTTTAAGGTAGCTATTTATCACCTAAGAACTTTAGGGAAAAAGAAAAAAAATCTATAGGACAAAAAAAATTTACTTTTTTCATTGTTCTCAATCCTCTATTGTTTACAGATATGCTCAACACACTGATACACAGCAATCAGCTATTTTATACTTAAAGCAAAAGTGTAGGGGAGGGAAGTGGGAGGAAAAGAAAAAGCAAGAAGAAATGAACAAAGCTTGCCTTAAAGAAGTGAAACAACTTAAGAAGTTACAGGACAGAAAAAAGAAATAAGAAGTTTCTCCTTTTTTTTTACTCACAACCACCAGCCAACAATGCAGCCTGCATTGTGGAATACTGTTGTTTGGGCTAACATCTGGCTGTGAGTGGTGAACAAAACAGATGTGGCACAAATGAAGACCCAGTTGTCTTCATCTTACTGTCTCTTAACACTTTTCCAAAATGTGTTGCTAAAGCGGAAGGGTAAACAATGGATTCTTCACTATTTTTCCCTTTCAAACTCTGCCCACAATACCAATGTATACATTGCTGCTTATTTCCTTAATGTTAAACAGGTAATATTTTGCTTTAGGCACAGTATCGATGTGTTGGATCTCTTTGTTGTCATTTCATCAAACAACTAGGGATTAGTCTTAATTACTAGCAATGGCCTGTGCTTTTTTTTTTTAATGTTGAATACTATTAAAACAATGCCTCTTAACACTAGTTGTAGATAAATTACTATGGAAGGATATTAGGTCCCCTGAGAAGTTGAGCTTGCCACACGAAAGTCATACAGAAGAGGTCATTGCCTAAGGAGCTAGTAGGCACAAAATACATATAAGCAGGTTGTCAGTGTTTTTCTTCCCTTGGGTGACCAATATTTGAAAGAAGAATTTGGAAAATGAAAGTGTCTTTGATTACCATTCAATGTCTTATCTAATTAGTTACTGTATTTCACAGGAAAGAAAAATGAACCATGTTTCTTTTCAAAGAAATAGCTTTAAGGATAGAGTTAAACATGATTATCAATTAATCTAATAGCTCAATTTCTACTAGTACAGTAGTCCCTCCCTTATCTGGGGGATGTGTTCCAAAACACTCAATGGGAATCCTATACATATTTACTTACAATAAATTTTAATTTATAAATTGGACACAATAAGAGATTAACACTAACTAATAATGAAATAAAACAATTATAACACAGTAATGTAATAAAAGTTACATGCATGTCGTCTTTCTCCGTTTATCATACTGTATATGCAATACTTTCAGACCATGGTGGTGGGCCATGGGCAACTGAAACCACAAGAAGAGGAAGCATGGATCAGGGCAGACTACTGCACAGCAAGTCCTCACTTAGCATCATGGACAGAGTCTTGGAAACAGCAACTTTAAGCAAAAAGAACATTATAATGAAATTAATTTTATCATAGGCTGACAGAAGGTAGGTTAAGTTTCAGCAGCATATTTCCAGTGACAAATATATCATCAAACTTCTAAATAAAAACCCGAAACACTTCCAATATTAAACAATAATTTGTTTCATTCATTCATCCATTTTCCAACCCACTTATTTCCAGACCAGGGTCATGGTGGCCAAAGCTTATCCCAGTGCCTTAGGGTCCAACACTGGACAGGAGCCCTCCCATCACAGGGGGTACGCTTGCACTCACCCACATTCACTCAGACTGGGACAACTTAGTCACAGCAATGAAGCTAAACTGCACATCTTTGGGATGTGGAAGAAAACCAGGGCACCCACAGAATACGGAAGAATGTGCAAACTCCACAGAGAGTGCCTCT